AGTCTTCCTGACCAATCAGGGCGACGTGCATGTGGTCTCACTGCCATCACTCAAAATGCAGGTGCAGTACCCCTGCATCCGCAAAGAGGATGTGAGCGGCATTGCATCGTGTGTCTTCACTAAACACGGCCAAGGTAAGTCCAGACTTGTGTTTTCCTCTTCATATAATAAACAGTCAGTTTAACAGTGTGTTCTTGCAGGTTTCTATCTCATTTCTCCATCTGAGTTTGAGCGTTTCTCTTTGTCCACACGCTCTCTGGTGGAGCTGCGCTGCCTGGTGGAGGCCCCCCTGCACCAGCGCGTTCAGACAGATGGTGCTAATGCTGCTCACAGGTGTGTACAGGGCCACACTTTCATTCACTTTCATAATGTCCTTCAAATGAATATTAACATCTTTGTGTTTTGTAGGACTTCCGAGAAGGACAGTGATGATGCTGGTGAGCCTTAAACATGCCTATAATACAGTTATTACTGCTCTGGTAACATAGGTGTTAATTTAACATATCCAGCTAAAATTGTTCTGTTACTACTGATGACAGAATAGAATATGTTGAATTGATTCAATTAAGTGTTGATGTTTTACTTGTGTTGTAGAGAGTGCAGCGCGGCGTGTGATGGAGCATGCTCTGCTCAATGACGAGAGTGAGTACTGCACTAACAAAATATAAAATTTATCTGAACTCTCTTTGTGACGTTTGGTCTTTTTTTTTTGTTGTAGAAGTGCTACAGGAGATCCAAAAGTCACTGGAAGGGGGTCCATTGTAAGTGTTCATATACAAACAAAAATGTTTCAACTGCAATGAAATTGTATTTTCATTTAATGGATTTTAACACTTTCTTTTCCTGACACAGGTTACTGGAGAATAATTTATAGAATGCTATGGCCTATTGGATGTATAAAAAAGGTAAATACTTATCCTTCAGAAAATGAAAGCTGGAACAATATATATATTTTTGGGGCTAATATATTGCGTGTACATTTTATTTTGGACCACTAGGACATTTTTGTTTATGTTTTGACAATATGTTGAGACTTAAGGTTGAATTATGAACTTCTATGACTCATTACTTGTGCAAGTACTAAAGTGTTTCATTGTAGCTCATGATTTTTTGACAATATTGTACATTTAGAATAGTTTTTGTGGTTTAAATCTTTTCTTGAGTTTTTGTGTCAGCGACATAAAAGAGTTTCAATATTATTATTTATCGCCCATATTTACTTCAGCAATATATTGCACTTTAAAATTTGTTATCATGACAGGGATATTCAAAACTGATCATTTTCTTAGTAAAGACACTTATTTTGTTTTTATCGTCTTTGCAGTTTAACCTGTGAACAACCACTAATGACCTTGACCTCAGACAGAGAGCACACATGTCCCCCTGGTGGAGAGAAGTATATCACGCCTGCTTGAGGAGAACCTTGTGCCTAAAGACCAGCCACTGTACACAATTTACCAAAGCACATAAGCACATCACGTGACCACAGCCATAGTGCTTTTAGACAGGACTTGGGTGGTAATGTAGAATAATGTAGTAGAGGGTATTTCATCAAAATGTGCCTCTTTTTTAATATCTTGAAGTAGACCCTTTTAAATTAACTATGAAGAATAAGAATTACCGACCAAAAATTACTGAATGATTCTTGGCTTTTGTAAACAAAACTTGTAAAATATAGGACTTTTTTATTTTCATAATTTAATTTTGCTTGGAGAATTTGATCTACTGTGAAATCCTTTGTAAATTCAAATTACTTATTTTTTTTTTTTTTTTTTTTTTTACTGTTAATCATTTTTAGGTTTTATCTTTTAGCAGTATCACTTTATTTTCATCCCCAAATGATTTATGCAATATCATATAAATGCAAGTATTTATGCTGTACTTTCAAATAAGGGGCAGGATTTCAAATTAACTTTCTTACAACATTTTTCAGAGCAGCCTCTTGAAACTATCACTACATTTTTAAATACTGTACTGTACTACTGGTGACTTTCCGTCCTCTAACTACAGTAATACATTGGTACTGCTACTGCTTTTAATAGGAACTCTATAAAATGTCTGTATACATTTGTAACATGAGCAAATATAATGTAATTTAGACTATACCTGTAAATGTAAGCTATTAGTCAAATTTTTTAATGTATGAGTGCACTACTGTCTGTTCCAGTGCTGTTGGATGGGGTTGGCTGCTGCTAGGGCACATTTTGGTACTGTCTCAGATTGCTGGGTTTTAGTATCTGCTTAGAATATATTTTTGTAGATTATGAACTCTTAATTTTCTAATTTGTATTTTACACTACAGTTTATTGATCCTAATTATAACATGTTTATCTGTAAATTTGAGTGTGTGTTTTTATTTTTCCTTAATATTTATGATAATAAGGTTCACAGCCTCTAAAAGAAAACTTAAATAGCCTCCTGTACTGATTTATTTATTGATATCACAGTGCATACTAAATATATACATATATATATATATATATATATATATATATATATATTTATTTTTTTTTTTTTTTTTACTATATTATCAGGCATCACTTAAATTTTTTTGTAAATTAGACATTAAGCCGGTGGTTTCCAAAGTGAGCGGAGGTCCACACAACAAGCAAGAAAAATGTATTTTAAGTTACCTTTGCATTACATTTGTTTATATTTTTTTATATTGGTAAAAAGCCCGCAGGAATGTATTATTTTAACATATAATCTTTACGGAGAAAATTACATATTAATGTATAGTGTAAAATATGACTAAAGTCCTAGAAGATGGTGCGTCTGTGTGGTACCTCTCAGTCCACTCGAGCCTTCGTCCTGGTGCCCTACATTTGGATGGAGAAAACAATGGATTTCAGGCGATTTACTGAAAAAAAGACTGTTTAAACTAAAGCAGCTCAATGCCTATAAGACTTAAAATGTGTTTGTGACATTTAGGCCAATGAGCGCAGGACACAGTCGCGCTCATAAATTTGAGCGCAACGAGGCACTGGCAGACATGTTTTGTTTTTGGTTTTTTTTCGGTCACAAAATATAGCAATATAACACATCCTTTAAATCCTTCAACTCCTTCAGGACACGACGAGATTCATGAAGCCATAATGGAGTCCAAGTCCATTCAAGCTCGTGGGTCAGGTACACAACCAAACCCGAAGACTGGTGAGAAGGCTAACCAAGCTAACTGACTCAAAACTACCAATAACAGCGTATGGCTGTGATGATAATAGGCTGCTTTGTTTTGGTATTTGCCTTATTGGCCTTATGTTGTCATTGTTTCAGATTCAATTAAACGCAGGTAATGTGGGGTCATTTCCAGTCAAGTGCATAAAGGACATAGCCTATCAATTATCACTTCTCCTGCCAAGACTTAATCATCTATTATGAAATGAGATGCTTTGTCTGCTAAAGGCCTGGAGCTGTGACTTGGCTGAAACCAGATCTGTCCTGAGTGAAGTTGCATCTTGGTCTCATGGTCCTAGGACTGTGGTATGGACTTCAGAATTCAAAAGCCAAATAGTTTTTACCAAGTTGTAGATGTCATGTGCTGAGTGAACTTATACATGTATTTCAGAATTATGATCATTTTTATATTTTAATTGGGACAGGTGTCAGAACAATTCATTATTTGAACCAAAATATCCATTTGAAAGGTGAAAGTTATCAAAATGTTGCATAACAGGAAGCTGAACCTATGAAAACTAAAATATCATCTATCATATGATGTGCGGCTTTGGAACATAATAAATCAGAGACATGAAAACTGAAGAGACACATCGATAAACCCTAGCCCCTTCTAATGATTGGTGTAATGTCTGATTTGAGTTTGTACAAGGAAATGTTTTCTAGTTTCTATGGTCCAGAAAAAAAAAAGTTTTTTTCTGTACATTTTCGGTCCAACCACAGAGCAGCAGTCTTCTCCTTTGCCTCCATCAACAGCTTTTGTCTTCACTCGGGCCCGTGCCTCTCACCTTTCACTGCAGGCATTCAGCAGCTGCCCATGTGAACCACCACAATTTACTAAATTATTCAAAAAGCACTTTGTGTTTGTATGAACGTGTGCATTCATATGTGACACTGGCTTTGGGTAAGGGGGTCATTGTATAAACCACACACACTTGTGGAGATACAGCAGTGTTGTGAGAGATGTAAAGGTATCATAGTAGAGGGCTGTCAGCTCTTATTCTAAATCCTGTTCGAATCATTGACAGCAGGACTTAAAGACCAGTCAGGGCACTTTGTGGCCCCCAGCTTTGCCGGGATTTCACTTGAGAGGCCAGGTAAGCCACACCGATACGCCTCTTACCACTTTACCCCCTGGGCTTTCTACAACTGCTGCTTTTAGGCCAAGATATCTTCACTACTGCTTGCTTAGATATGGACTATAGACTAGACTATAACAGTGCTTTCACTAATAAAATAATTGCAATTAAATATAGGCCTATCCTGATAAATACTTTGTTGACTTATCATTCAAAACATAGCTGGAACAATATAATTTTGGGCTCTATATATTTTTGGGCTCAATATTTATTGTGTGTATATTTTATTTTCACTACTGGAATGCTTTGTTATCTTTTGGCTATATGATAAGATCTGACCCATAAAAGGTTAATTTAATGGGAGGAATAGCAGCATGTAACCTAATTTAGTAAATTCTATGACTCATTACAGATAAAAAAAAAAAAAAAACTAAGTACTTAAGTGTTTCATTCTGCTATTTATTGCAGCTCACATTTTTATTAACAGTATTGTACATTTAGAATAGTTTTTGTGTTCTCCTCTTGGGTTATTGTGTCAGTGGCATAAATTAGTTACAAAATTATTTATCATCTATGTTTATTTCAGCAGTATTTCACACTTCAAATTTGTTATCGTGACTGGCTTAATTAAATACTGATTTAGATTTTTTTTTTTAATTCTTTCCATTCCAAAGAACATTAGGGGATCATTCGATTGATCCAAAGTATCAATCTCTTCCTTTTTAGATTTTATTTTATGGAGTAAATATGCCACCTGCTAAGTCCACAAGTATGGTCCATGCATCCAGGTGTAAATCTGAAACAACAATAAAAGATCCCAAAAATGTGAGACCGAAAGAAAAAAAGACTTTGCCAAAAACGAGTGAAACGAAAAAGGGGCATAAAAAAGATGAAGTTAAAAGGGGCCCATCCAAACAAACTGGAAAACCCACAGAGAAGCCAAACAGCAGCAAGAAAACTAATAATGTAAGAGTAGCGGCAAAGTCCAGGGGGTCCAACCAAAAGCCCCCCTCAAAAGCAGTGAACAAGAGGAGGGAGAAAGAGTCTGAGGATGAGAGCGACCAGGCATCGAACAGCAGTGAAGGAAGCTCAGAGGAGGCCACTGAATCGGATTCTGAGAAGCAAAAGGAGGAGGAGCACAGCAGTGAGCAGGACAGGTCTACCAGGTCCACCAGCAGTGAGGAGAGCGAGCACAAGAGCTATCAGGATGTAAAACCTACAGCCGAACAAGAACCTGAACCAAAAAGTGACTCAGATAAAGCTGCCAGTGAATCTGAAGAGGAACAAAGCCCAGAACCTTTAAATAAACCAGAAAAACAGCAGGGTGGAGACAGTTTGAAATCAGATAGCACAGATGCAAGTGATGAAGAACTAGCCAAGAAACCTATCACCAGATCACGCAGAAAAACTAGACAAAGTTCAGCTCCGAGGACTGTGCAAGCGCAAAGCAAGAAGATGTTTAGGAAAAACAAGGGAGACAAGGAAGCAGAGAAACAAGAAAAACGTCTAGCAAAAGCAGAGAAGCAAAGACTGGAGAAGGAGGCCAAGCAGAAGGCAAAAGAAGACAAGAAAAATCTAAAAATTCTCAAAAAGCAAGAAAAATCCAAGAGTAAAAAACAAGCGGCTGGGGGTGTGTCAAACAAAAATGAACCTACAAAGAAGATCGTACATGAAGATAGTATGGATAATGCCAGTGAGGAGGAAGAGGAGGAGGAGGAAGATGTGATAGAGCCAAGTCTATCCACAGCCATGAAGGCTCAAGACCAAGTGAAGCTGCTCAAAAGCAAAAGTAAAGACTTACAAACACTTCTGGAGTCTGAAGGGAAAGATCAAGACCAAAACAAGGGCACTCCAGACCAGAGATTTCTCATCAAGAAAGCCCAGATGAAGGCACTACAGAAGAAAACCAACACAATACTGAACAAATCCAAACAGGGAGAGGAATTGCTACAAGCTAAAGCTGCAGATGGGGACATTGAAACAAGCAAAATCACAAAACAAATAATATCAGGGAAAAAAGGCATGACGACACTTCACAAAATGTCTGGTTGGATTCAGAAGAAAATGCACAGAGGTTGTAATTTGAGGAAAAAGTTTTCAGTTTGGGCAAAAGCTATTGGACTCTCTCGCTGGCTCTCGGTTCAGGCAGGAAAACGAAAGCAAAGTAAACCTAGAAGTAACTTGTTCAAACATAGAATGGCTGTCAAAGTTGCTGGTAAAACCACTTTTGCCAGTAAGAAAAAGAAAACTTCAGAAGCCGTAAAAGAAAAAGAAACAACTCTTGAAGCGTCTTTAGAAGTGGAGGAGCGTTCCACTTCAGGAGACAAAGAACTAGAAGCAAAATTTGCAATTGTTTTGCCAAGAATGAATAAAATCAACAAGTCGAAACCGAATACCAATGAAGGAGCATCTACAACATCTGGGGTTAATGAAGGAGCTTCTGTCAGTGGAGAATCAAAACTTCCAAAACCTGGTGCCCGGCTTGTCCTCCCAGTCAAACCCGACCTTACCCTCCTCAAATCCATAAAGAAGACTCTACCAGTGGGTATGCATGCCATGGAGGATAGGACTGAGAGAGAGTTTAGAGATTCACCAGGCATATCAGAAGTTTCCGAAAATGCAGCAAAAAGGGTAGCTCTCACAAACCTAAAGGACAATGGTATTTTACAATCAGCCAGAGCAAAGATGGGCCCCATGTCTAGTACCACACCAGCAGGAAATGTTGAAACTGTGCCTGCTCAATCTGAAGCTACTCCACACTTTCAAATGAATCAGGCGGGATTGAGAGTGGCGAATGTGCGCTCTCTGTACGAAGAGGAGACAGATAGGGAAGTGGCTGAGCTCATGGGGAACAGAGCGCTGTACACCATCATCCAGCCAGATATGCACTGGGCAGAAAACCCCTGCATGAGTGGTGACCCTCAGGTATACTAACATATATAATTATTATTATTAAAGGTGGACTATGTGACTTTTCTGGTGTGGGTCCAGCACCTACCTGTTTCTATGGAGAGTTCCTCTCTTTTCCTGAAATGTTCCACAGTATGATACTGAACCAAATCTTTATCCAATTAGACGAGCATGTGACGCCATTACGGTGACCCCACTCATACTAAAAATGTAACAAATTCAGCACACATGCTGGTCAGGATTGATGTATCGTTCAATATATTTTGGGGCTTAAAATGTATTTTGTGTACATTTTCTTTGCCATACTGGCAAGATTTGAAGTATTTTTGTTGTGATACAGTAAAATTTGAGCTGTAGGCAGTTGAATAAGTAACTTCTATGGCTAATTATTGGTTTATTTTGTTTTTAATTTGTTGCAGCCAGGCCTTTTAATGATGCTGTGTACTTAAAAGTGGTTGACTGGGGTTTTCTTGAAATATTGTTAATGTGGCATAAATTACTTTCAGTATTATCGTTTATTGCAGTATGTGCTTCAAAATAGATAGACAACTTTAATGCAGTACTGTGGAAATTCCAAGAGTGCAATAATATCTCCATGGAGACAATAATATCGTCATGGAGACACGCAGGGCACAAATCCACCACCAGAAAAGTTATATTGTGCATCTTTAAGTAAATTGCATTATTACAGAAATTATAATTAGTTTGTTTTAGAACTGGTTGCGGGCTGAGAATTTGCTGCCTCATCAGACAGTGGAGAAACTGACCCGATGGACAGTGTATGAAGATGAGCGTCAGGCTCAGACCACTGTGTCTGACAAAGGCAGGGGTCCGTGGGAATCTGAGGACCCCACTCAAGAAATGCTGGAGCACCGACTACTTAGCACACAGGTAGTATATGTTGTCCTTTCTACTTTATCACATTATTATTATAAGACTTATTATATTATATATAAGACTTATTATACTATTTCTGAGTAAGCTAATGATGACGGAATACTGTTATAACAAGGTGTACAGGTTCAATTTTATGCAAAATTTACTTGCGTTAGCTTTAAGCTATGTTAAAATGGTGTTACCTCATCAAAGCATATCTAGAGTTGTGGTTTGTTTCATTCACACATGTTTGAGTAACCCTTTATTATTAGTCTGTCTAAATCCTCAAAGCTGAAAATGCTCTGCTCCAACTTGTAATGTCATGAACCAGTGGTTTTCAAGTTAACAGCTAGCTTTTTTAGATGAGAATACATTGTCTATTTCAGATCTAAAATTATCCAAATTATTCTAGTGAAGGTGTATGAAGTTTAAAAACACAGTGGAGCACTTCCTGTATTATCCATCACAGGGTGGAACAGAGAAGAACTCAGCCTAAATATGCAGGGTTTGCATATATAAATGTGTATAAATTAAACAAAACACAACTCTGGATATGTTTGTGATGAGTAAACAACATTATAACATAGATCAGAAAATAGTGTAATATGGGCGCTTTAAAGCTCACTTAAGTTGATTTTGCACAAGATGTCTCTAAATAAACTCAGTACATCAAATTACATTATTAGTGTTAAATTACTGTTGCAGTTAAATAGCAGCAACAGAGAAAAATGTAATATCCTTTACTATGGTTTATTTTGTTTTTCTTTTGTATCAAAGGTGGTGCTGCCGGGTAGTAACAGGCTTGTGGAGGTAGATGAGCTGGAGGATCTGTCCCAGTTAGAGTAAATGTCCACTTAAAACAATGCAACAACAATCACAAGTCTTAGAATAAAATATATACTATTTGTATTTCAGAGAGGTGAGTGAGAGCTCTGTGTTACTAAACCTGAGAAAGAGATTTCAGCGGGACAATATTTATGTAAGTTTCACTCATATTTTTCTGGCTCAGGTACAAATTGATCCGAAATTAATCATACATAGAAAAGAAATGCTTTAGGAGTCTCACACCTTTACAATATTTCACTTTTTTAGATAGGTGTTACAACCAAATCAGTTTTCTTGTGTCTGGTTAATAATTTAATCTGTGACATAATATCAAACTAAACAAACACTACAAAACATTTTGCTTTGTATATTCTTAGACCTACATTGGAAACATGCTGCTGTCTATTAACCCTTTCAAGCCTCTTAACATCTACACAGATGAGCTACGGCTGAGATACCAAGGCCAGGAGCAGCACAGAAACCCTCCGTAAACACACACACACACATGCACACATGCACACACGCACACACATCTTATCTGTCCAGTGGAAGCACTGTTTCCTGTCTGTGAAATGCCTGCTCTTTGTCTCGTTTTAGTCATGTGTACGCTGTAGCAGACACAGCTTATAAACAATCCCAGGTTTCCTCACAAGAACATTGCATCATTGTCAGGTAGTCCCTTATTTTTACTTACAATATATGTATTGGTATAGTATTAAAGTAAATATGTAGATTATCATTGTTCAGCATTGATCATGTCTTAATAGATCGAGGTAAAAGATTAATTTACCGGTCAAAATTACAACAATCATTATCATTAAATTAAAAATCAAAATAGAAAATGTAAGTTAGAAGTAAATAAGAAAATGATAAGGGAGAGCCATTATAACATGGGTAAGGGCTCTTTAAAATTGGTTTTGTTATGTGTATCCTTTAAGATTCTTTATGACCCAAATTTTGTCATGTACATTTTTGAAAACTTTCTTCTATTATATATACATAATTTTTTTGTCTATTTTCTAGTGGACAGAGTGGATCTGGTAAGACTGAAGTTACCAAGCTGATAGTGCACTACCTCAGCTGTATGTATGAGGACGGAAATGGCACATTACGGCAGGTGATTTCTGTTCAATTAATTAACACTTTATTTATCCTAAATGAGAAATGGACAACACACAGAAACACAATATTTGTCTGATTCTTCTTTGCCTCTCTTCTTCATAACACAAAAGCCCATGGAAGTCTTTCATATCCTGGAGAGCTTTGGAAATGCCAAAACCATCCTCAACAACAACTCAAGTCGCTTTGGCAAGTACCTGCACATACACATCCTGCGGTGAGTTACCAGTATGACACCTGCTCACTTAGACTGGCCCCTAAGCATTCTTCTGGTCTACAGGGGGTCTGTCGTTGGAACCTCTCTCTCCCAATATCTGCTGGAGAAATCAAGAGTAGTCTTCCAGGTAAAATCCATTGCAAACACATTGAACTAAAAAAACTAAAACATGTATACATATGGGTTGGATTAAGGCCCTAACGTGCATTTATATTATTGCTTTGCCTGAAATTTTACACAATATGCTTATCATTCATCATGGAGACAAGCAGGTGATGCCACACAAGTCAGATCTGTGGAGAGGCAACCCTGCTCACAGTAAGAATAAATAATTTAAAGAATTGTTTATCAGTCAAAAAAGCTGTAATTGATTAAATGCACAATAGATAAGTTGGAACATTCCAGGAAAAGAAATTATATCTCCATGGTGGTGAACCCACACCAGAAAAGTGACATAGTACTCCTCTAACCATTTGTATTGTAAGTATCATTGTTGTTCTGTTGTCGCTGCATGGATAAGGAACCAGGAGTCTTGTAATTTACTATTTAATAGTTTAGCACTGGGCTTGGAAATCATCATACCTAAATGTGATAAACTATGAAGTGTTGTATTCTGTTTATGAGAGGGTTGTATGTGTGTGTGTGTACGTGTGTGTGTGTATACCAGGCCAGTGAGGAGAGGAACTTCCATGTGTTCTATGAGATGTTGGCCGGAATGAACGAATGGGACAAAGAGGATCTGTACTTGCAGGGAGCTGACACATACTACTACCTGAACCAGGTACAAAGCTGTTGTGTTTTATTGCTATGGTTGCCATAAGAAGAACATTTAATTTGAAACATTTCACTTCAGAGTGACTGCCAGACTTTTTACTGCACACCACATCGTTGATAGAAATTATTCAAAATTGTCTTGGCTGATCGTTTTATCCTTCTCAGGGTGGCGCATGTGAGCTGAAAGGAAAGCAAGATAAACAGGACTTCCTGTTTTTGGTGCAATGTTTTGAAACAATCGGTCTGCACTCAGATCAGATCAGTATAGTGTGGGCCATCCTGTCGTCCATTCTGCAGCTGGGCAACATCTGCTTCAGCTCCTACGAGGTCAGCCATGCCCTGACCTTTGACCATTTACAGCATAGAATAAACATACTTATAGCAGATATGACTACATAAATACATTTGTAACTGTGATAAATCTTACATACAGTGAAATGACAATTCAAAATTATTAACATCATTTCCCAACAACAATGAAATCCTTCATTTTATTTCATTACTTTTGTTTAATATGTGACCATTCTTCTAGTAGATTTATGAAATAAAAATTTCTGAATGACTTGGTAAAGTTAATGTGACCTAAAGAGCCTAAAGAGCTACAGAAAACACTTCACATGTAGGTTTGACTTTGCTTCTAAAAAGTGGCTTGACTTTGCCTCTAAAAAAGTTTAGTTCTTAAAATGTATTGTGACCAGAATTGGCATGATTAGCCATTAACCAAATTATCTTGCTACATATGCTTATACATGTTTGTATAATACTGTTTCATAGGTTAACGTCACAGATGCATAAAATTTCCTGGTGTGGATTTCTGTTTCAGAGCGAGTCGTTTGAGGTGGCCCGGATCTTCAGCCAATGCGAGGCCAGGAGGGTGGGCTCCCTGCTGCAGGTCTCCTCTGAGGCTCTCCAGACTGTTATCACACACAGAGTCACTGTCAGTATCATGCAACACCACTCACAGTATCTGGTTATAGCTTTTGTAATGTGTGTAAATGTTATACTTTCTTTTGGGGATGTTTTATTATAATAGTATGTTTTGCTGCCTTATAATTACCATATCTATTACCATCTATCAACCCATTTTATGTATTTGTTTATTTATTTTGAACATGTTTACAAATAAAATTCAAAAATGTCTCTCAATTTTCAGTACAGTAATATCCAAGAAACTAATAAGAGATTCACTGTACCATGATGTAACTGCATATTACTTGTCATATTCCCACTTAATGTAAAACCATTACCATTAAAGAAGCATTTTCTTAGTGTACCAGTGAACTGGCAGCTTCTCCTTTTCAGGAAACCACTTATGACAGGATCTACTGCCCCCTTTCTGTTGAAAGTGCCATTGAATCCAGGTAAGGTAACTTTATTATTCATCTTTTTACTTGAATTCAACCCCCTAATATGCTTAGATAGATAAATATTAGATTTACCCCAAAGGAAATTCAATATAACATTATAATAAATATATCATAATATACAAATTCAGTAACTTTTTACTTAAATTCAGCCCGTGTCATATATAATGTTTATGTGATTTGTTTTTTGATTTAGTAAAGTGTACACATTATGTGTTATTTTTCTGTAGAGACGCCATTGCCAAAGCCTTGTACTCGGTGCTCTTTCATTGGCTTCTGGAACAGATCAACGATTGGCTGAGTCCTGCAGAGATGGACAGCACAGTGGGCGTTGTGGACATTTATGGTTTTGAGGTTAGTTTTTAAGAAGAAGCAGACTGCAGTTAATAAAAGTACGTAGGACCCTATGTGGACCACTGGCGTCCAGTCATCCAGTGGTAAAAGATGCTTCTCCATGTGCTCATTTTCTTCTTCGCCCTCACTGAAAAAGTCCAGCAGGGCTGGAGACTCCAGTGTACAGGGTGTTGCAGTGGGACGTTTTTTAGATGCTACACAGTTCTCTTCATCATCAGAAGAAATTGTGCATTTATACACCAGTAGCAGAATAGGCTGTACACTGCTGTTTAGAGACAGGACCCTCCTCAGTGGGCTATACATGTTTATGAAGAAAGTGTTGCACTGGTCTGAGAAAGTCAAATGATAACAATGGTTATTGTTTTGTTCAAACAATATGCAAGATGAACTGAAATTCAAATTGCAAATCATGTGAAGACATAGAGCTATGAGCTCTGAGATCCTGTGGAGCAGACTGAGAGGCCTTATTTACTAATGCTGTGCTCCTGAAATGTGTGGAGACATGCTTCTTCGTCACTCTCTCCTTCACCTTTTAAGATGAAGCACACAGGTCCTGGGCAGGTTTCTTGAAGTCTTGTGCCACACTTGTTTTTATCTATGAAAAAACAAGTGTTAGTCTTATATACACAACTTTACAAACCATCAAGAGAATAAGTGAAAGAGCAGTGTACCTTGAGGGGGTCAGTGTCATCATAAAACAGCACTTCCTTCTTAGGGGAAGGCAGGACTTTCGACTTGATCTCGTGGCACATTTGAGCCAAACACTCCGCAGTGAGCTCCACTAGAGGCTTGACCACCAAGGACCAGGTGGGTTTAGGCTGAGGAGCCACAGGGACGTGTGGCTTCATAGACTGTAGAAGCTCAAAGGTTTTCTGGCTCTTCCCCTTTAGAGAAGCTGTGAAACCCCTTTTTGTTTTATTTTATCTGCTGATACAATGTATGCCTTTGTGCAGGCACGGTCACATTTCGTTTTAGAGGAAGACTTCTTCTTCCTATTATCAGTTGTTTTTAGGCAACTGTGACAGCTGGATGGAGCAGGCCCAGAAGTCACTGCCTTCTGAAACAAAACAAAAAAAACTGATTAACATAACAGCACTGTAAATTCACATGACTAGACCAATATGAATTGTGCCTCTGTTGGTCTTGTCTTCAGTTAAAAGGCATGCATGTAAAATATGAACATTAACAATTAATTACACTTTGTACATTCATGATGTGATTTAAAGAATATATTAAATCTGACAGAAAAGTCAGAACAACACAGAGATGTTGAGACAACTGAGAACTGAAGTTGCTGGTAAGAAGTGTTCAAAGTAAAATGCAAGTGCATCTGTTTTAACTATATCCAAAACTACTTAACTAATAACAATGAGAGTAATTTTCATGTTTTCATGGTGAGATGCCATATTTGTCTGGTTTGTTTGACTAAAGCAGACTGATCAATTAGTACATTAAAAATGTAGCAAAAAGCTCTCAAAAACTATTACTAATGAGATTGATTTTGTTGTGGATGTATTATAACTGAATCAATGTGGTTTTGTACAGGACTTGGCAGTGAATAGCTTTGAACAGCTTTGTATCAACTTTGCCAATGAACAACTCCAGCACTTTGTAAACAAGGCTGTACTCACTCAGGAACAGGTCTGTACTCCAGAACTGATACTTCTCCTGTCAGTAACACTGAAAGAAACCTCAACCGATTGTAATGATATTGACAGAAATGCAGAGAACACCTTTCCAAACATTATAGTGTATTTTACCTTACCTGTCTTTTTGGGCTTGGACTGTTGCAGGAAGAGTACCGTGCAGAACAAATTCAGTGGTACCCAATGCCTCTCAAAAACTCAACTTCCTGCGTAGATCTCATCTCCTCTCGCCCTCATGGCATTCTCCGCATCCTGGATGACCAAACCTGCCTTCCCCAGGTTTGTGAAGACAGTACAGGGGGGTTTGGGGTCCTGATTAAACTCAGCTGATGTGGGTTTCTTTAGGCTACAGACCACACCTTCCTTCAGAAATGCCACTATCACCATGGGAACAACCCATTCTATGCCAAGCCCAAGAGCCCCATGCCTGTGTTCACGGTGTATCACTACGCTGGAGCTGTTACCTACCAGGTGAGGAAACCTAATTAAACAGACTAAATGCTTTCACTATTTCGAGAAATGTAAGACTGGTATTTTAATTTGTCAAAAGCATGAGGATTAGGGTTATGGTTACATTTATAATTTGTGTTTGAGTCAAAGATAATATACGAGATAAGATGCTTCTGTTTGCATTTTTTCAGGTTCAAAATTTCCTGAATAAAAACCATGATCAGTTCCGAACAGAGGTCCTGGAACTGTTTGCTAAAAGTCGTCTGAACGTAAACAGTCTTTATTTCAAACCAGTGACTGTTTATTCAGAGGAGGTGGTGAGTGAATGACTATGTCCACTTGTTTCAGATGGTGTCAGAGCTGTTCAGGAAGGTCCATGAGGGCTACATCCAGCAGAGGGAGCTGGGCTGGAGAGGCAAGCAACCCACCACTGCAGCCTCCCACTTCCTTCAATCTCTCAATGAACTCACACAACGCCTCGAAAGGTACTTAGACTTAGACAAACTTTATTGATGCACAAGGGAAATTATTTGAACACCGTAGCTCACACATCACAATATAATAGAATAGAATAGAACAGAATAGAATATATGGTAATAATAAAGCAGCCAGACACAGTGTAAGCTCCAAAATGAATGATATAGATGTGGATCAACTCTATTACATATATTCAAAACATTATACTACAGACTTGTGTGAATGAAACATTATGTTGTGTTATAGATGCAAAACCACTTTTATCCGCTGTTTCAAACCAAACTATGTGAAGGTCAGTGTGCATGAATTATGTAAAATTATTAATACATTTAAAAAATCTGCAGTATTTTATTGTGTAGATTTTCCTTTTCACAAAACTCTAGCTTCCAGGGATATTTGACTTGAACTATGTGTCAGCTCAGCTCAGACACGCTGGGATCCTGGAAACTATCCACATCCGTAAAGAGGGCTATCCCATACGGATCCAGTATTCCCACTTCATGCAGAGGTACAACACCCAACAGATCAATTATGGGTTCATTTAGGCGTAATTATGATTTGATTGTTGTTTTTGTTATGCCGCTGTTATTGTTAAAGCAATATATGGAGTAGGGTTGTGAGCAAAGTGCACCGTCAAAAAAGTAGAATTCACCGACATACAGTATAGCTGCTTTCACACACACACACACACGCATGCACACAATAGTAGTAATAGTCATGGGTGTGATACACAATAGATATTAATTTGTGTTTCTTATGTATTTTGGTAGGATGTGTGATGCTTTATAGTGAATGTGACATACAGGGTTCCCAGGATGTCTTAAAAAGTCTTAAAAGCATTGAATTTATGAATTTGGACTAATAACTTGAAAATCCTTGAAAAAGTCTTGAATTTTTATATCTGGGTCTTAAAATTTGTGCAGTATGTAACTTCTCCATATCGCATTTCTTCTCAAATGTTTAATTTGTCAACCACTATTATTTGGTTAAATAACGTAGCCAAAATAAAGAGTGGTGGAACCAATAAATGAGAATGCAATGCAGCCCCAGGTCAAAAACCTCCAAACATGTCGCTGAAGAGCACACGCTACAGCGCCACAAGAAATAAGTGAAACAGAAGTATAAAATCAGAGAAAATCTCAGCAGAACACAAAATCTGACTAACGCCGTTATGTCTTTTTTCAACGTTGTTTTATGTTACCGAACAATACATTTCATGCTGGGGTTATGGGGAAGAGTCTCTTTACTCTTCATATTCCTTGAGAAATAAATTAACACAAATTCAAGAATTTTGTTTTTCTTTGCCGGTAGGTCTATGAAATAGGCTGTGAAGTAGGTATACAATTTTTATATAAATGGTCTTAAAAAGGTTTTAAAAAGACTTGAATTTAACTTGAAGAAACCTGGACATAGTGCTGTGTTGCAGATATGGGGTGCTCCTGAACCTGCGCGACAGTCAAGGCTCAGACCGGGAGCAGACTGTGGCTCTGCTCAGCTCAAACGGAGCAGAGGCAGAACAGTTCCAGCTGGGACTCACCAAGGTAAAAACAGAAAACACATGCACACAGCTCTTATCTAACATTAATAACTACAATTTAATTAACCTTAAAGGTGCTATGTAGCTTTTTGGTTGCGGGTCCATCACTTCTTGTTTCTATGGAAATGTCATTGCTCTGCTTGGAATGTTCCACAGTATGACATTAAACAGATCTATCTTATATTTGTTCAGTTACAGGTGGTTTCATTGATCAAAACGCCTCTCCACCGATCTGACCAGTAACTTGGTCTGATTTGGTCTCCATGATGATAGAAAGGTTTAATGCCCTACTGTGAAACAACAGACAAAGCAGTAAACAGTACCTCCTTTGGGAAAATATTTGACAGACTCTCCACAATAAAGTTACACAACGCACTTTTAATAAACCATGAAGATTTAGACTGAAGGCTTACTTCATTATGAACAAATAATTTATTAAGAATGATTCAGACTTACTACCTGCCCAATTCCTAACCTCATCCCATTACTTAAGTAGTTACTAAGCCTCAATTCTTCTTAATGAACCATTTGGTATTATAAAATGTTACTAGCTCTTAAAACTGGAGACCTACTTTTTCTCTACTCCTATACTTCTCCCTGCAGAGATGTATACTAGTTCACTTCTCAGTAAAGATTTTGGGAATATTTGCCTTCATTTGCTTTGATATTGCCAATTATGTTTTGTTTTTTTTACACTCTCAAAGTAGCAAAATTATAAAAATAGATTTTCCTTTTGCATGATGCATGTATTGTAAATACTAATATAAAACTACATGAGGATGATGTGTGCACTCAGCTCTTTCTGAAGGAGCGCCTGTACCAGGTGCTGGAGGACAAGTGGAGCAGCACTCAGACCTGGGCGGCCATCACCATCCAAAGGAACATCAGAGGCTTCCTGTGCAGGCGAAACTTCCGCTTCTTCAAGCAGAAGGCCATTGTCATCCAGAGCCACATCCGTGGACACCAGGCCAGGTGTGCACTACACACCTGAACACAACCATGACCAAAGAGACATGCCAGTCTTTTTGGAGCTGACTGGGTTCAGTTTGACTTTCTTTGTAAAAGCTGTAATTGGATCAGAGGAGTACTGTGAGCTGCCCTCAGGCTGTAACCCAACCAGAGTTGATCTGATACTGCCCCTTGTCACCTGCAGGAAGTACTACAAGAGGCTTAGGCAGACCATTACTCAGTTCTGGGCTGCAATAATGATCACCAGGAACACCATCAAGCACCACCACTGGAGGAAGGTTTGACTGACACACATAGATCCCGCCCTCACGCCACGCAGTCTCACCCACAGCACTCATGTTACTAAGCAAGGCAGTGTTTGCTCCTTTTATTGGGCTATAAACCTGAACAAATATGACATCATCACATAAAAGGAGATTAAGATAGTAAGACAATAAGATTTTGCAAGATTCTAACTCAGTTCTAGCTTGATTCTAGCTCAGTAAAAGTTATTATGGAGTAGAACCAGTCAGCATTTTAAAAAGCCTAGTTCAGTGGGGTCAGGAGGCACATTTGATGACCCTTTTCCATCTAGTTTTTCATCATTTCATTTTCATCTAATTATTTCACATACATAATTTTTGCATTGGTCACACTTAAATATCAGTATTTCCACTTATATATTATTATTACTACCTGCAAACATATTCTTATCTCAGCTGACGCATGCGTCTTGTACACACCTTTCCACTGTCCTGGACTTCACCCCCTCTTAAGTGAAACATGAAGCAGTGTATCTTTCGTAAACCTTCGGATCCACTCTGACCTTGTGGCTGCTCTGCTCTGACAGGTAGGCCATCTGGTTCTCCTTCACTATTTCTTGTCTATAAAATGGTTCCTCTGCCCTTGCATTATGGCTTTTAAGGGTTTGACACAGTTTAAATAATACAAACCTGCAGGAATGGGCAGTGTCAGGTAACAGGCTAGGCATTGGGTATTTTTGGTAAGAGACAGTTCTTTTTAAAAATTCACAAAAAATATGTGTCATGATTATATATAATTAAATTATTATTTTTATTTCAGTGCATTCTGAAATAAGAGATGCAATAGATGTGATGCCATCTGTCTTCCATAATCAGCTGCCATCTATGTTTCAATTAAATATGGATTGCAGACGCGTTATTAAAGGGGGTTATTAAGGGATTATATAATGCTAATATAATCAATTCATAGGTCCTAAAAGGCATTGCCTGTGTTTTAAAAAAAAAAAATCAAAAAATGTTTTAAATACTGTGCTTTTGTTACATATAAACAAACAAATGCAGATATCAGAACAGAAGACGGCAGCAGTGTGCAGATTTACTATTTCTTAAATCTATTTTATGATATAATTTTATTACAACCATAAAAAGAACTTCTTCCTTGTACTTCCGAGTATTTCTTTCTTTCTATTTTGCATTAAAGAATGAGAGCAAACAGTAAGCAGAGGCCATAGAGCTTGTTTATTGGTCAGTTGGAACCAGACTTTTTGATCATTTAAATATCTAAACATCAGGCATTACAGAATAGTCACTTAAAATACATTTTCCATGACAGAACATAATCTACCACAGCAAGGATTTACCTAATGATGAAGGAACCATTTCAGATAGTATGGATTGAGATGACTCCCATGTTGTAAACTCTGTGATAAACGGATAGCGTTGGACTTTTGGAGCCATTGAAAGGGGTGGGCCCTGCTGAGGGTGTGGGCTATTTAACACTAGTACCTCTAAGAATAACTCAGACCTGGATTTAAGACAAATGAAACTATCATCGGTTACGGAGCAAATAGTTCAGCCTGGTCTTACAGATTGCGAATAAAGACTGACAGTTCTTTCTGTTGGCTACAACTGTGGTTTCAGGATTTCCACGAGAAGAAAAAAACAAAGTTAGTGACCAAGGCAAAGTCTCTTCTCCCAAGTATGGTAAGAGAAAATCTTATGCTCTAGACACTTTCATAATTGACAAAAGATGTTATCATATTTTATTTTTATTGAAGAATATAAAAAAAAAACTATGGTAAAATGCTTATATTTACAGTAATAGCTCCCTGAAAGTTTTTTTGTTTTCCATGAAGCTTTGGTCTTAAGAAAGAGTTAACGTTTTTTCTTTTGTACTGTAGGATGTGGGGCGGCTGGAGATCCCTGCTGAGCTCTCCGCCAGACTCCAGGCTGAAGCAGGTTAATATATTCAAAAAACATCATTCAGGACATTCAGAGCAGTATATTTGTTTCTTATTACTTATATTTTGTTTAAATCTGTTTGGTACAGGACAGCATCAGGGGCCAGAGGTCAGTGCAGTGGCCTCCCCACAGGTCAGAGCTGAACACAAGCTCAGCCTCCCTTCAGATATCGACCGTTATCCATTCTCTCGATACGCCAAGACCTTATTAAAGGTGAGTGTGAGAGAGTTAGTGTCATCAATATCCATTATGTTTTTTGTGGATATTAAGATTCTTCTTCTTCTTCTTCTTCTTATTATTATTATTATTATTATTATTATTATTATTATTATTATTATTATTATTATTATTGCACTTGCTTTATTTAGTTATTTCAGTTGATTATTATAATGAATCCCTTTCAAAGACAGTAATAACTTTAAAAACTCATCACTGTGCTTGTCTCTTCTAAAGCATTATTTAATCCAGTTCTGTTCTGTGCTTAGTACCAGTACATTTATCTTGTATTCATTTCACCCAGCTGAAATGTCTTGTCTTGTTTTGTTGTGTCTGTCAGGACACATGGAGCCAGCCTCAAGGTCACCCGCTCCAGAGACCCCTCACCTCTCTGGAGCTAGATGATGCTAGAAGTGCCCTGGACCTGAACAAACTGGTACAGGAGGCAATATCACCTTCACCTCATAGCCACTATCTCAATATTCTCTGAAATTTACATAGTTTAATCTGTGATTGTCCTCAGATCCTTCGGTTCATTGGTGAACAGAACCTGAACCCCTGGCAGGAGCAGGTGTTGGGGAATTTCATTGTTGAGAAGTGCCAGAACCGCCCAGCTTTAAGGGACGAGATCTTGGCCCAACTGGTGTACCACACATGGGGACAGAAGGAGGATCAGAGAGGCCTTAGGGGCTGGCTCCTCCTGGCCTGTTGCCTCAGTGCCTTCTCCCCCTCACCTGCACTGGACAGGCCCCTACTCAAGTGAGTTCTACATACAGTAATACACATCTATGGAATGATTAATTATTTAAGTAGTTACTGAGTAGTTATTTATAAATAAGTTATACATTTTTCCTACCCAGGTATGTCTCTGATCAGGCTCCAGACCGGTACTGTTCTCTGTGCCAACATAAACTGCTGACCTCCCTACAGCTGCCCGCTCCCATTGCCCGAATTTACCCTCCCACACAACTGGAGTGGACCTGCAACCAGAAGAGGAGTGGCATGCAGCTGGAAATCCACACCTTCAATGGTCAGGCCACACATCCAGAACACAGCAATCATGTAAATATGTCACCATTTCACATTAAAAATCTCTCTTCCAGATGAGAAACTGACAGCAGAAGTGGAGTCCTGGACCACAGGGGAGCAACTGGCTTCATGGCTCCTTCATTTCAGGTAATTCAGCTCAAACCTTTTCTTTTACATAATAATACTATCATCTCACAACATACTTGAGTAGTTGTTTGCCGTCCTGTCTGTTCCCTGGCATTAAAACCCTATTCCCCATTTAGTCTCAATAATTGTCCTGTGTGTCCCATAGAGGAGTGACGGAAGCGCTCCAAGGCTGGTCAGTCTCACTGTTGGCAGATGAAACCTGGACAGATCTGGCGGGCTCCGACTTTGTCATGGATCTTCTGGCTGGAGCAGAGGCGGAAGTGCCACTCCCCCCTGGGACCCCCTCGTCACTGCAGTCGGACTACCTCTTCACCCATGGAGACAGGTGCCAACCACAGACTACTATATTCACATTTTAGTTCTGGAGTTCTCTTGGTGATGGTGTACGCTACATCTATGCAATCTATGCCTTCAGTTTAGTACCTACAGCCTGGACTGGACTTCTGATTTAAAACAACTGTTCAGAAAGTTTTTTAAAAGCAATTTACTCATATTGTAAATTATAGGAGGTATTATATAACGTCATGGTGGTACAGTGGCTGAGTTTCCAGGTTCAATCCTTAGGTCAACCTGGCATTTCTGTGTGGAGTGTGCATGTTCTCACCATGTCCTGATCCAATGTAGGTTTGGTTTCATGTTTAGGGTAGTCCCATTTTACGTCCAGTTTTGATGCGAAAGTGTGAAGGCACCTTTAATTGTGCACCTCAAATTTCTTCAAGTTTGACAACCTTTGTTCTGCCCAGGACTGCCTCTTCAGATCTGGATGGCTTTATCCCACCGGCTCCTCCCATGCAAGCACCAGAACTTCCATTACCAGAAGCAAACCCCTGGAGAAGGGACTACCCACAGGAAGGCCGAGGTCGGCAGATGGACGCTTATGTTGATGACTTGTTTGAGCCAGTGCTGGATAATGGACCTCCGGTTAGTCATGACCACAATGTGTACTTTAAGCACACCAAATGAAAGAAGACACACCTTCACTGAAAGAAAGAAACAAAACATAAACTCTACAAATATTGATCAAGTTTACGCCCTCACTTTGAGGTTAATGGTTGGCTGAAATTCATTGTAGAGGTCAGGGAGTTGTATCTATAAAACACATATATTGATTAATGTCTAACTTCACTCTTAAGACTAGAGATGTATTTAGGTATAATAATTAATATCAGGGCTAGATTGTCAAAAATTATTACGCTGAAAGATTCTATATGAGCTTTTACAACCTGCATATGTGGTTTTTCATTTTCTAATTGTCTCAATCTAGAAATATACTGAATGTATATCTAAAAAAAACATATTTTGATGTCTATTTCTCCCATTATAGTAGAATCAGCTATTTGGCAACATAAAATTGTTACAAAAGGAGCTATATGATATATCTGTGCGTAGGATGCAGAGCGAGTGGCCCAGCTAAACCGCAGAATGAGAGGAGCAGGAGGAGTCGGACCAATGCGCAATGGACTTTATGGAGCAGGTATGAAAAGATAGTCACTCAGTATTTGGATTGTTAGATTGGATAAACGGCGTACCACTCTAAGTTAATATTAACAGCTTGTTAATAGCCTGACTTATCTAACTTTCTTTCAGGTGTACCTATGTCAATGCCTACTTATCCAATGGGTATGCATATTGTTTGTTGTTATTAAGGGTGAATGGTTGTCTGCATGTGAGCTATTGGTGTTGATTAACACTAATCATTGTTTTCATGTCATTTCAGGAGCACCAGTGACTCCCTCCATGCCTGTCTACGGCACCAACCCGATGATGCCAACCATGCCAGGTGACCCACACACCAGTGTTTGCTCATAGTACTGCCATTTATGTTATATTCTTAAACCATAGCATTTAGTGTGTATTATCTTCTTTCAGATACTTTAAATGAATGATCATTTGTTTAGATTAACTACTACTATTTTATGAACTTAAAAGTATGAATTGCCCTCTCTGTTTCAGCTATGATGATGCCACCGAGCCCAGCGATGAACCCGATGATGAACCCTATGATGAATCCGATGATGCCCCCTCCCATAGCGGACCCCATGCAGATGGCAGCCACTCAACAGGCCCTTATCAACCAACAAGCTGTTCTTATGGTGCGATGACTGTTTTACTCATATTGTACAGTGTGAGTGAAATGCGTTTTATCTCCATTGTCCTGTGGTTGGAGCAGGCTCAGCAGATGACCATGCAGGCCATGACTCTATCCCAGCAGCAGCAACAGGAGATGCAGAAGAAACAACAGCGCCAAAGAGGGCTGAGAGAAGAGAGAGAAGAGAGAGAGGAGCGGGAAGAAAGGGAGGAGAGAGAAGAGGAGGAGAGGAGAAGGAAGAGACGCTCTCAGCGCAAACCCAAAGAGCGCTCCAGATCACCATCTCCACCGCGCTCCCCTCCATCTTCCCCTAAAAACAAAACAACAGCTGTCAAACGCACCACCAGTGTCAAGAGGCCTGAGCCAGAGGTACCATATTTTTTCTCAGTTTTGAAAGTTTTATGAATTACTAAACTGACTGGTATTTTGCTTTATTTATAGCCAGAGACAGAAGTAGACTTACCTGACCCTGAAGACCTGCAGTCAGTCCGAGACAAGTTGGAGTTCTTTGAGAAAATTGGTAGTTACACCATTTCTACCAAGAGATAAGCTCTGATGGACTCTATGTAATTGTATTCATTATAGTTATAGCTATCTTGTCAAGGGTTAGACTATTCAACCCTATTTGATTTGTTTTTATGTTAAACTGTTGATGAATTTCATTTTTGTGCATTTTGTGAAAGAGCTTTGTTAAAAAGCTTTCATTTTAGGAGAAAACGGTGTGAAACAGCGCCCAGTGTCTCCCTTGTGCCCCTCTTCCTCCTCCCCACCTGTGAGACAACATCACTCTCCACCCCGGTCCACTCCCTCTCCTCCCCCTGTCAAACCCAAACCTAAAGGTGGGCTAAGTAAAAACACAGTGACGGCCTTTAGCTATTTAGTAGAAAAATGCTTATTTGGCATTTTGATTGTCTCATAGCAAAGAGCCCAAAGCCTGCTCCTGCCAAAGAAGACAGCACACCCAAACCAAGCCCTTTGACCCAACCACGCCCTGAACCCACCTCAAACATCAGAGAAATCATCAAACAGTACAACAGCCGTCCTGCTCCTGCGCCAGTGTCCATCCAGCCTGCCAGGTCAGCTCCAGGAAATATGATAACTAACAATGTAGCGACACATCAGCTCACTTTTACTTTTATAATATTATATTCCAAAAATGTTTATTGTTTTTATAGACCAAGTAAAAAGCAATTTGTGAAGAAGACTGACCCTAAACAGGAAGCTCTGGATAAACTAAGAAATAAGTCCCCAGCTAAAGAACAAAAGGTGAGTGACATCAAAAACTATGGTCCAGTATTGTACAAAAAACACTCTCTTATACAAGCATCTCTGATTCATAGAAACAGTGGACCCCTCTACCTCCTCCCGTCAAGGCTAAACCGGCCCCACCTCCTCCCAGGGCCCCCTCCCCACCACGCTCTCCTGTGTCCACTAGGGGGCGAAGAGCCATTTCTAACAACATGAGGCAGAAACAGCGCCCTTTGGAAGAGCTGTTCAGTTCCCAGCGCTCAAAGCAGGCACCTCCTCCACCTCCACCTGAAATGCCTCCCCCTCCACCTCAAGCCCCTCCTCCTCCACGTGAAGCTCCTCCCCCTCCACCTGAGCCTGCACCTTTTTTTTACAGCATCCCGGACCCCCCGGAATTAGCCGCTCCCACTCTCAGTAAGAATATTAGTTTACACATTTTCCAAATCACAATTATATTAATTTTGATTATATAAACTATAAACTAATTAATCTCTAATCTATACATATAACAATACGGGTTTATATAGAATTTGCATATAGTAAGATTTTACCAACTTTTACCTTTTAACTTTTTTTTTTTTTTTAAGTTGAAGATGATGAAGGTCTTTCCTCTCGGTTACATCGCTTCCTCCCTCAGAACTACCTCTCCTACGCCAGAGTCCCTGGCAAGTTGTTCCTACGTAAAGAGGTGACTACACACGCTTAATACATGAGATATCTTCAGTGCACAAGCACAGTGATTGGACATGGATAAGAGGAAGAAGTTTAAGCTTATTATATTCTATTAAGCTGTCCTATTAAGACTATGGAGGAACAGGCAATCCTTATTGAATAATTCTGAGTAAGATTTTTTAAGTAAATGTGTTACTTATTGTCTATATTAATCAAAACAACCAAAAAATTGTGTGCGCGTGCGTGTGTGTGTGTGTGTGTGTGTGTGTGTATGTATGTGTATATATATATATATATATATATATATATATATATATATATATATATATATATATATATATATATATATATATCAGTTTATTGCTTAACTTGTTTTATGCAACTATGGGGGCAAAATTTTGACTAATCTGTTGAATCTTTATTGACCTTGCATTGAAAAAACCTGTAATGTCAGAGCTTTAAAAACAATTCATTATTCTACTTTGGATGTTATAATGCTTTGACAATGACTGTATCAATCCAATCCAATCGAACTTTATTTGTGTAGCACATTTTATAAACAAAACAGTTTCCAAAGTGTTTCACATAGCAATGCAAAACATTTTACTTTAAAAAGCATTTAGATAAGGTAAAGAGCTGTATAACACAATTCGTACACAAACTAATTCAAAGTGCTTTACAGAATGAGAAAGACAAGAATACAAAAAACATAAATAATCATCATAAAAAATAACATTAAAAGAGAAGAGTGTGGAATAAATGCAGATAACCATTCACTCTCACATTCACTCGTGTACACAGGCTGATGTTGTACTTATTGTGCTTATCGTTAATCAATCTTCTTTTCAGGTGTTTTATCCTAGAGAGCTGTTTAACCGGGCCTACGTTCTCAATCTTCTGTGTGAACAGGTTAGTATGTGGGACTTCACCTTTGTTTATTCATTTTGATAAATTTTTCTACAAACATCTGGTGTTTCAATTAGATCATGAGAGACACGTACTCAGACAGCTGCCTCCGGATCAGCCGAGAAGAGAGGAGGAAAATGAAAGATCTACTTGGTGAGAGACCATGATTTTTTTATTACACTACAGGCTATGCATTTACACAGGGCTTTAGCTGTTTAGGCATTAAGTGGAGAGGCTACAGGTCTCAAGTAATCATCTAATCACATTAGCAAACTTCAGTGTTGGCACAACAATAAGCACGATCCAGGATGACTTCATGAAGAAGAGAATTGTCATTGCGGCTCGAGACAACTGGGAGAACTATTTCAGCAGATTATTTCCTGTCAAGGTTGGCATGCAATTACATAATATGACATTAACAAAGCCAAAATGTTAAACTGTGAGTAAACTGTGATGTGCAGGTGGGCAGTCAAGATGCACAGATTTTAGGAGTGACCCATCGAGGGATCCGCCTCCTCAAGGTGGTCCGTGCCTCGGGTATCAACCCCAAACACCTCCGACTTCTTCGTAGCTACAGGTATCAGTTCTTTCATACAGATTCTCTGGAGATGGATTTATGGTGTTTTTAGCAGTACCTGGTTACATTGTGACCTTTAACATCTTTTTTTTTTTTTTTTTTTTTTTTTTTTTTAGTTTTGCAGAGATGATGTCTGTAGAGCTCAGAGGTCCAGAAAAAGTGGAGGTGGAGCTGAAAAACGAGAACATGGTGCTTCAGTCTACCAGGGCTCCTCAAATCTCTGCCATGATCAGGCACTTCCTACATGAACTCATCCAGGTAAGTGTGCTACTACTGGTCTATTCCATTCCAGGTTATTGTGGTCTACTGCAGTCTGGGCTGTGTTGTATACAGTGTTTCTTCATAACATCCTCCCCACAGGGCTCAGGTCACGTGGTGGCACTGAAGAGTCACATAACAGATGACAAAAGCATGCTCAGCTTCACCAGAGGAGATGTCATCAGACTGCAGGCGGTAGAAGGACTCCAGACAGGTGTGTTCCTTTTCACACCATGAGTCTCTAGTCAAAATGTACATGTTACTGAAGCAATCAAACATATTATGTAGAACTTAGTTTCTTTAATGTCTCACTACTGTCACAACTGTCTTCAGGCTGGATGTTTGGTTCCACCGGGGGGCGCTCTGGTCTGTTCCCAGTTGAACTCACTCAACCTTCTGCTGCTCCGGACTACCACGGTCTGCACCTGGACCGAAGAGATGAGAGGAGGAAAAGCATGAGGAGCATGAGGCCTCCCCCAGGGCCTGCTCCACAGGGGCCCATGTCACAGAGACCACCTCAGCAGAGACGACTTTCACGGGGGCCACCTTCTGACAGCAGAGACTCTGTCCAGGGCTCAGTTCAGGGTTTGGTTCAGAACTCTCCTCGGAGCTCTGTCCTAGGTCCAGAGACCTACTCTCCTATGGCTGAGTTTGCCATGAAATACTTTCGGTGAGATCATGTGTGTCAGATGTACAGGACTACAAAGACCCTCAGTGCTAACATGTGCCATGTGTCAATTTTAAAGCATTGGAACCGACGGCTTACCACCCGCTGGGAGGAGCTTTTCTGAGACTGTCAAATATAGTAATGTAAGGATTGTGCCCAATGGTAGTAGGTTAATATGTTACATAGGAGACCAGAAAAGGTCCATTAACAAGAGAAGGGTTAACAGAGAACCAGAGTTATTGTTAAAACAAAGTGATGATTTAACATGTTTGCATTGCTATCATTGTGTGTGTTGGTTTGCAGGTGCCGCTGCAGGAGTCTCTCATTCTTTACAATGACCAAGAGTTAAACCAGCAGTCTGTGCAGTGCTTCAGCAGTGAGTTTGTAATTCCTTTGTTCCTTTCATTTTATTCTTCAATTTCAAAAATCCTAAAAACCTAAAACATAAAAAATATGTTATATTCACTTGCCTCACACAATGACCCATATTTCGTAACATTGTGGTGAGAATAGGGTATATTTGGGTGTAGCTGTAAACCATCTTTGAGTCTTTTCGCAGTATTTTCAGTATTTTCCCATTTGTAGCACTATTTTTTATCAGTATTATGTCCTCCAGCCCTATTGCAGTTCATGGGAGATGCACCTCTGCCTAAAATCAGCAGCCAAACCAAATGCCTGGGCCACATATTACTGGTGAGTGAAAATTGGCATTTTCTGATGTGATCTCCATTTATTCAAACTCTTATCTTCTTCTCCTATGGTCAGCTGGGAAAGGAGAATGAACTTCTGAGAGATGAAATCTTCTGCCAAATTGTGAAGCAAATTACAGACAACCCTAATAAGTAAGATATCTTTTAGTCTTTTATGTTCTTCCCTACACTAATGTCCTACATTTTTATAATAAAATAAAACCAATCTTTGTTTAGATCCAGCTGCACTTTAGGCTGGCGGGTGCTCAACCTCTGCACTGGTTTCTTCTCCTGCTCTGGGACACTCCAGCCATACCTCTGCCAACACCTGGAGCTACTTGCTTGCAACCCACACAACCCTTATCAAGGTTCATTCACTCACTTTCTCAAATCACTTCAAATATTATTTGTTTTTATTCATGGTTAGCAATTATGATTAAGCCATAATGAATGTCTTCATAACTTTATTATATTGAAGACTTTTTACTTTTTACATGACCAGTAAGAGGCTTTCAAGGTGTGATCAGTGATTTGGACAGTATCAAACATGGATCTTTCAGGTCTTTTTGCTTTCTAATGTTCTTTATCAGTATTGTTTCATTTTTCTAACAGAGTTGGCCTCAGTATGCCTTGAAAACCTGCAGCGCTCTTTCTCTTTCGGAGGCCGTCGGACCATTCCTTCTGAAATAGAAATGGAAGCTCTCATGGCAAGTGTACTTCAACCTTCAACCACATTTTACTGAAGTTAAACATATAGCAAGAGTGTTATGTTTGACTCTGTAGGCTGGAAAAAGCTCTCGTCGAATCGGCGTTAACCTGCCAGGAGAAGTGGAGATCCCCATAAAGATCCGCAGCTTTAGCGTAAGATTGCATAAATATGTTTGTAAAAGTGTGTGTACACCTGTCTCATGAATATTGCACATTTCAGATGGCTAGAGACGTCGTAAGTGATGTCTGCAGTGAGATGGCCATTACAAACCCAGCTGAAGTGAATGAATTTGCCATCATTGCCAACCGAGATAAAGGTAATTTTGTTTGCATAAATATTTCAAATCATAACCATTTTTTACCAATTAAAATAAACAACGCAAGAAGTAAGACTAGTAGTAGAGACTGCAGATCCTTGGGTAGCCTTTATCTCTAGGTCAGTGTTTGCTAGTATCAAGCACACAAGTGAGAGGTAGGTAGTGGCACTCAATTCACAACACTGTGTATGGCAGATGGCGTGGCGAGACCCCTCCACCCTGAAGAATATGTCTTTGACTTCCTTCTTGACGATCTCTCCATAAGTCTGTCCCTGAGGAGGGTCATCTGGAGGAGCCCCCTGTCCTTCAACAATGACCTCTACCTTGACTTCCACTACCAGCAGGTTTGAACTGTTCTCATCTTTACACACTCACTCCCAGCGGGCACAACCCTGTACATGTCTATGCATTCTATTGCAGTTGTTGGAGCAGTACCTGAGCCAGCAGATTCCTCTGGGCTCTGGGGGGGTGCAGCTGATGGCAGAAGTGACTGCTCTTCAGAGATTGGCAGATGGACTCCAGAGTGCTCCGTCACTGTTAGTAACCAGTTAAACTTCATTCAGCTTTTGGTGCTTTTGTTCAACCCCCCCTAGAGCTATGAAACTCTCGTGCAAGAAAAAAAAACATTGTTAACCACTGTTTCTGTAAGAATACACCAGGTCTCACTCTATATTTTCTTGATATCTGCCTGTGTCAGAGTGGAGCTGAGGCAGTATGTGCCCACCCAGGAGCCCGAGGGGCATCTGGAGGAGCTCCTCTCTCTGTGTGTGGAGCAGATGTCACAACTACAGGGCCTCAGTTCTCAGGAAGCCAAGATCCAGTTCATCGGTAGGTTTCTGTTATGGTTTCTGTAACTTTTTCATTTGAACTAATTATTACAGTGTAACTAAAGGTAAAGGTAAATATAACCCATAAGCCATATCTACAATATAAATAAATTGGGATTACATAGTACATAATTCATTTGGTCTCTCACTCTCGCCTCAGACTGAGCTTGTGTGTTTTTGCAGATTTTGTAATTTCTCAGCCTCTGTTTGGCTCCAGGGTGTTTTGGGCTGAGAAAGTGAGCCAGCGTGGTGCTCCTTCTCCCTGTGTAGTCAGCATTGGTCACGATGGAGTGAGCCTCAATCACCCCAAAACCATGGTACTCCCAATAAAACAATTCTCAATAGAATATCATATTCTGAGTATTAATTTCTTGTGTCATGTACAGGAGCAAGCATTCCACATCCCACTAGAGGACATACAGGCCATGCGCACTGTTCGCCCAAAGAAGATGGGCAAAGTTCCAGGAGTGGAGATTACTTACGGAAACCCAGTCCGGCCAAAGAAATTATCCATTAAAACCAAACAGGTACTGTGCTCTAGTGGTTGGACAGAAGTGGATGTGTGGGATCAGTGCAGTGGTGCTTCAGGATAATAAATAATAATAATAATAATAATAATAATAATAAATGTTATTTATATTACGCCTGTCAAGACATCCAAACCTTACGTTATTTGTTCATTTCACACTTGGGGGTGGTAACCTACGACTGTAGCCCCAGTTGCCCTTGAGGAAACTTGTGGCAGCAAAACGGCAAATCTGGCCATCGGCCCCTGGGACCATCACAATCACTTATTCACCATATTCATACAAGGCAGTACAGCCAATCTGGGCGACCAAACACATTAATCTATAATTAATTACTGCATGGTCCAATACATCCATCTATCCATTTCCTTATGTGTTATTATAATGTGTAAATAAGTAAGTAATAAGTATATGTAAGTATAAGTAATAAGTATTGCAAGTTATTTTTGTCAGACTGAATTCTGATAATTGTTTGTATTTTGTCCATCCTAGGCTAAGGAGCTATGCCACATCCTGGCGCTGGTGATTAATGAGCTGGTGCAACCTCCAGTCAGCAGCTCTGTGTCCAACCACTAGCTCATGCCAAAGCATATTATTCGAGGACTTCTGTGAATCTGATAGTAATCATTCATTGTTTACATTTTGCAGTAATTATGAAAATAAATACAAAATTTTATAGAAAATCAAATATCAGACCAAACCAATGCGCCAATTATGTCTGTATGTATGTTTATATGTCTGAATATTTAAATTGTAATGTGAAAACAACTGTCTTATTAATTATGTAATATAAATGATGACACTTTGCATTAAATTAAATTTCTATTAAAGATTTAAAACCTTGATCTACAATAGTTATTTGTATCGTATTGTCTCAACAATATGATGAGATTATAAATGAAGGTGTTCAAAAAATATAAATGAAGGTGTTCAAAAAATAAAAGGAAACAACCAAAAGAAACCACTTAAAGCTCCAAAAGACCAGATTCAACATTATTACGTAAGCACCAAGATAAAAGTGATGGCACTTTCATTACCAATAATCACATATAGGTCTGTGGTGCTTTTTTAGTTATTTTTTATTCACTTTTCATTTCTGTAGTGAGTCTAGTGGGTGTTAGGTTTAGTGTTAGTATTTTTTTCTTCATCACATGGCTTCATATTGGATGGCCATTGTAGGAAATGCTCTGTATTATTAACATGGATCTATTATAGTTATTGTTATTAAGTATGCTGCCTTATCACTGTTTGGATACTTCTATGAATGGTCTGTTTTTAATACTGTGCACAGAGACACTATAGTCTTCAGACCTTACAAACTTATTTGGAAGAAGTCATGCTCATTGGCCACTTGGGTAAAAAAAAAAAAAAAAAAAAAGAGAAATTAATTCATTACTGCATCAAGAGAGTAAATTACACCTGTTCGGCCTGGATGTGGTCAAACGGTATTATAAAACAAAATATGGCTGACTTGACATCAAAAGCATGTGTACAGCAGTCAAGTAGAGCTCCAAGACACTCTGTTGTATGACAAAATACTGTCACATCTCATGGGTCACTGTTTTGACGTGCTGTATTTTCATAATTCTAAAATTCTTGAAATTGCATGACTGAAAATTGGTCCAGGTGCCTTGGAGAGACAAGCTGAAGTTTCCTATTTCAAAACAGAGCCGTAAAGAGACAGACGTTCGCCGCTGTAGGATTGACCAATCAGATGCGAGAGTGTTCCGTGGTGTCCAATCACAAGTCACTTCGTCCGCTTCCAGGCAGAACGTTTCTCAATATGGCCGCAGCTTGGTAGTAAACCTGCGGAACTACCTGGATTATCTCAGTAAAACATATTTCACAAGATCATTTGACACTCGATTGTAACTCTAAGGTAAGTGTATTGAGAATAACGTTTGTGCGTTCTCATAAACCATTGGCAACTGCGGGCATAGGCGTGCACTGGTCGAATTGTGGAAGAAGCATCTGCCTTTGACATGAAGGAGACGCCTGTGTCCTGACAGTTCGGCCACAGCTAAATTATAGACGGAGATTTAGAACAAGTGGACCACAATTGTTATACACACGTGGGCTTTGTGGCATCTGGGTGACCTCTTGTCCGTGACTGTGTTGGAGCTACACACGGATATGCAGAGTCAGTATATTGCCTTTAAATCTACTGTGTGACTTCCCTCCCCCTCATTTTCAACTTTTTATTTTATTATATTCTCATGGCTGTTCTTCTAGATATGGCGTCAGATTTCAACTGAATGTGTTTATTTTATGATGATGAAGATGCTTGGCAATATTATAGAATATTCTGGGCCATAATTTATTACCACGTATTTCAGCCTTATTTTTTTACCGCAAAAAATGCACCTGAAACCAGTGTCCTTAACTAACTCTCAAACATTGACCATATAATACACTGCATACTACAGACCCCCTTCCTTACAAATCCGTTGCTTTGTCAATATCTAGATATGGTATACCTACAATAGTTTTTAGCATGGGAATACAATGTTACTAGAAAGTGCCAGATCTATTCTTAGTTGTTGTCCAGTGTAGTGTGAGTCTGAGTTTAGCTGCCTGCACAGGGATTAACAAGCTTAATCTTTCTGTAGTAGTCTGCTCCCGATTTAGTACTCCATCCCACAACATGGGTGTGTAGTAAACTAAGGTAAGTATCTCCAGGGATGGACTGATGTATTTAAACATGCTTTATTCTTTCTGACGTGGGTGGTCCTCATTGGATCTTTTGGTTGACTGTTCGAGGGGCAGAGTGTTGTGGCACTGGCCAGTACAAAGTGCTGACTTGTTTTGTTTTTTGTGCCAGGGGAAGCTGCCTATGTAGTCAGAGGGAGAGGATTTGCTGTCAGGAGTTTTATGGCTAAACAAAGAGTGACCCATTCCACCTGATGTTGTGCATCCATTAGCCTCCTGGTTTTCAGATCACAACCTTACAACATGAATGGAAGTGTCCTTTCAGTGTTCAATAGGTGAAAATATGAGCTATACTTTCCAAAACCTTCTTTAATTTTTGCCACAGTACAGTCTGTGTTTAGTGATAAGTCACGTAACCAAGCGTTTCACAAAATAACAGTCTAGTGCCCCACGGATAAGATTATAGACCTACAGAAGGCTGGTATGGGCTACAACAAGACAAGATCACAAACACTTTTCTCAGTTGAAATCAGCACGGATTCCAAGGTCTGAGTGATTAGTCGTGAACAGTTCATAGAAGGCTCAGCGGAATGAATCCACCTTCACTTTCAACAGCAAAGTCCTTGAAGATATCACAGTCTCTCATATTATAACCTTGTTTGATCTCCACAGGTTTCAACTGAATCATCATGAGAAGCAGCCAATAGTTGTACTGGGGCAGTCTGGAGAGGACCCTGGGAGGTAGCACCCCTCCTGTGTGTCCTGGGACAGCCTGGACACTTCCCTGTAGTACCATCCCCCCCAGGCCCAGAGTGGAGCAGCACTGACGGGGCCACACCTGCTGGGCGTGACTCCTGAGGGGCGGAGCATGCTGAGCAGCTGTGGTTACCATGGAGACGCAGGATAAGAAGCAGGTAGTAGTTGGTTGCTTAGTGCTTGATGTTTGTGCAGAGTCTGAAGAGTTTGCAAACTAGGCTCATGATCAGCCGGGCTTTTCTTTGAAATGTTATTGAATAAGTTTCCAATGTTTTCCTTCCTTAAATAGTTACTGACCAAAGCTGGTTAGCCTCTGTCGTGCCTCCTAATATTAGAACTGTTCTGAAAGTCAACTGTTCAACATATTGAAAAACATGGACAATTTAGATTGAAGTCTATGGCTACTGTTGAGCTCCTCTGACTGTTTGCTCCCTTTAGTCAACAGTGGTTCGAGGTTTAACCCTGAGTTTACAGAAAAAGTTGAACCTTAACTATAACACAGAGTTTCCAGTCTGCGTTTGTTTGGACAGTCAGCTTATAAGTTACTCCACAGGTTTACAGAAATGCGCAGCATCTCAGTCTTAATGGATTTCTTTGCTGACAGTTAAGTTTTTTTATATCACCATTTGGCTCAAGCCAATTGGCCTCTCCTCCCCATTTTTTATATTTTAAAGCATTCATCATTCTTATAGGTAACAAATATACATAATTTAGTTGAAATCTCCAGTGTTGTTTGGTTGTGTGTTTGTTTTATGTTGGATTTATTTATAACTCCAACCCCCAGACTGTTTGTATGATCTCAGACAGCAGGATCCTGGAGCGTGGGAAAAGGGCAGCTCTTAGTGACTGGACTCTCTTGAATTCTGAGGCATTCTTTTAACTGATCTACTCTACAGGTTAAATTGTAATTGGAAATGTTCTGGTGATGTGTCACCAGTTGTCACTATTTATTATGTGTCCTATCTAATTTGTATACAACATTTTGGTCAACTGTTATTCTGTGAAGTGCTCTAGAAATAAAGTTGAGTTGAGTTGATGTAATTATGAACATATTTTAAGCTTGTTGTGACTTTGTGTTGTTTCCAGGGGGAGGATGCTGTCGCTCTGGGCCTGACCACGGGGCTGGCTCTTGGGAAGCTCCGAGACCAGCTCACAGCTCTGTTAGAGCAGCACCAGAGGGCCACACACCGGCACTCATCAGTTCTGGTACAAACTGCTGTAAACTGCAGTTGTTATTCAATACAGTCTTTATTGTTTCGATTTGTACAATATATCCTTTATAAAATTCAGTAGGGAAAATTGATTTATTTGTGTTGTACTCAAATAGGATCGACTGACAAACAGCTTCTTGTTTCATGGAAACCGTCACTCCTGTCTGCACTGGCCAGGTGTGGCCCTCTCGTTGCTGGTCATAGTGGGGTTTCTCTGTTGTCATGGCAGCCAACCCAAGGGCAGGTCAGTTGACCTACAATCAATACCATGTCACTACTTTTTATTAGTATCTCAAATTCAGGTGTTTTTTTGTTTTGTTGCAACAAAACCCTCATTTGTCTAATGTGGATAGCCCCAATAATCTTGTGCAATATTAATCCTCATTATATTATAATGTAGTTCACAAACTCACAAGAATCCATCTTGGCAGGCTCCCGCTGGTGCAGTTGGGCCCAGCCATCAATAGGCTGGAGACTGTACCAGTGACGGGGCCGCAAAACCAAACAAACAAGGCAATGCTGACAAAGAGCTAGACATATCATTCTCACATTAGACAGTAGTTGCAGATGTATTAGTCATTTTGTACTTTGACAATTAAACTGCAACCTCCATCTGGTCTCTGTAGCTCTTTTGGACCACAATCAGTTTATTGTTAGAATAAATAGAGGTATTTTGCTGCTGTCTCTTTTTCTTGATTCACATGCATCCACAGTTCTGGAGTGGAACTATCCAACGCTGCTGCTCTCCTGCTCCTCCTGCTGGTAAACCTGCTGCTGGTCAGGCGACAGCAGAGGCTCCAGAGAACAGAGATGATTGGCCGTCTCAGAGCTATCATAGGACAGCTCAATGGTAAGCTTTTCTTAAATTGTTGTTGATGTGTGTAAATTAAAAATTCATTAGATAGTACCGTAAAATCCGGACTATTGAGTGCACCTGAATATACGCCACATCAACTAAATTTTAACTAAATTTAAAAATTACATATATAGGCCGCACCTGAATATAAGCCGCAGGTGTCCACGTCTTCAAGAACGTTAATAAGTTCAAGAACTTTATTAAGTTAACTTATTAAGTTTATCACCTCTGA